GGTGTTGGCTGCCTGTGTGAGGTTTTTAGATTTAGGAATTCCACTAACATGGGCCTCCTTTCGTTGCCTTTTAGGGTCAGGTGGAGATAGAGGACCAGGTGGAAGGTTTACATTATGTAGCAGAAAAATACGGGTTCATCGACTTGAGCCGGGTCGCCATCCACGGCTGGTCCTACGGGGGGTTTCTGTCCCTCATGGGGCTCATCTGTAAACCCAATGTCTTCAAGGTGAGTCTGGACACGGGATTGTCACCGTGGGACTCTTGGCTCTCACAGCTTTTGTCACTCCTGGCAGCTGGAGTTGGATTTTGGGCTTGTTTCAAGTGGACAGGTGGAAATGTCCCTCAGTCCTGCTGGCTACAGCCTTGGATCCTGATAAAGCTCACACCTGGCTGGGGCTGGAGGAGGATGGCTCTGGGATGGGCTTGGCCTGGCATCCAGTGAGATAACTGATGTGCTATTCCCAATCCCCTTCCCCAGCCCATCATCCCACAAGTCCTCCTTGAAAAGGAGCAGCCTGTAGTGCTGGTGTGCAGGAATTTGCCCCGTTGTGACCATGAGAGGGAACAGCAGGAGGAGGAACCTGGTCTTTACATGACTGAGCGATAGGGCAGTCCAGAGCCTGCTTTTTCCTGCCTCTTCAGGGAAACAGGGAACACTTGAACTCTTGAGCAGGTGATAACTGAGGCTGTCTCCTGTCTCCCTGTGTGCCAGATTGCCATAGCAGGTGCTCCTGTCACAGTGTGGATGGCCTACGACACCGGCTACACCGAGCGGTACATGGACATCCCGGAGAACAACCAGCAGGGCTACGAGGCTGGCTCTGTGGCATTACACGTGGAAAAGCTTCCCAACGAGTGAGTGCCCGCTCAAAACCTGCCCCTGGGTCCTGCTGGGTGCCACCACTGGCACCTCTGCTCAATCCCAAAGGAGTGGGTGGGTTCTGATCCCATTTAAGTCCCGGTGCCGGTCGCTGCCGTCGGCAGCAGCTGGGCCATGGCACTGCCAGCCCCCTCTGCCAGGGAGAGGCTGAAGCCCCTGGCCATGGCCTGGTACTGCTCTTGCTCAGTTTTGGCTTGCCCAGCTGGCAGCTCTTTGCTCAGACCCTCTGCAGAGCTTTCAGGGGGTTTCCCAAACTTGTCCTCATCCTGTTCCTCCTCCTGTTTCTCACCCCATCTCCAGGCCAAACCGTTTGCTGATCCTCCATGGCTTTTTGGATGAAAATGTGCACTTTTTTCACACCAACTTCCTGGTATCGCAGCTAATCCGGGCTGGAAAACCTTACCAGCTGCAGGTAGGAGGGACAGGAGTGGAGTGGGAAGGTCCCATAAACCTGGAAGAGTTCTCTGCTGTGTGTGTTCCTGGGGCAGGAGGGGGTGGGGGCAGGAGGAGGTGGGGGCAGGTGCTCCCACATCCTCTTGTGATGTTGGTGGCAATCAGCACCTCGTTGGAGGCCGGGAGGTGGCACTGTGGCTGTTCCATCACTGCCAGATGTGGCACGTGCAGGCAGGGCTGCTGCCCTGGGCCTGGAACTTTCCTTCTCCATGAGCTGTTGCTGTCCCACTTGGCTGGTGGCAGCAGAGGTGGCTGCAGTGAGGGAAGGGTTGGTGCTCCAGACTTTCCCTTTCTTTTTCCTGATGGAGACTGAGTTGAGGGAACAGGGCTGAGGTGAGGGAGAGTTGGTGCTCCAGACCTTCCCTGTCACATCTTTGTCCTGATGGAGATTGAGTTGAGGGAACAGAGCTGAGGTGAGGGAGAGTTGGTGCTCCAGACTTTCCCTGGCACATCTCCTATTGGAGACTGAGCTGAGGGAACAGGGCACCAATGAGGGAGGGGTTGGTGCTCCAGACTTTCCCTGGCACCTCTTTGTCCTGATGAAGACTGGGTGGAGGGAGCAGGGCTGATGTGAGGGAGTTTTGTCCCTGCTGAGTGACCGAGTGCCCTGTGTCTGCCCCTGCACAGATCTACCCCAACGAGAGACACAGTATTCGGTGCCCTGAGTCAGGAGAGCACTACGAAATCACGCTGCTGCACTTTCTACAAGAATACCTCTGAGAGCACGAGCCTCTGCAAACTGGACACTGACAGCTCACCCCCAGTCCTGTGCCCTCCTGCCCCCGACAGCCGTCGAACCCAGAGCACAAGTGGCCGAGTGCCCACGGCGGGCTGGGTGTCCCCCCGCGCCAGGGGAAGGCTGGAGGGCACCTTCCCTTTCTGGACAGTGCCACCTTCTCTCACTTTCCAAGCTGGAGGTCTGCCCCTGCTCGGCTGCTCGTCCTCTTCCTCTCCTCCAGCCTGGCTGTTCAATGCTTTTTTTGCTGCTACTCCCTCTCTCCTGGGAATCAATGGACAGTGGTCTGTCTCCCGAGGCTGAGGTTTGTGCCCATCTCTCTCTCTCTCTCTCTCTCCCTGCCAATCCTTCTCCCCCTTTTCCACTGCCCCTGTGCAGTTCCCACACTCTTACCTGCAAGAACTCAGTGCCTGTGTTGGAAACGGAAGAAGAGCCGAATCAGAAGCTGCCTTAAGCCAGGAGTGGGAGGGAAGAGAGAACTACCTACTGCTAACCCCGGGGATCGAGCTGTGACCTGGCCCTGCTGCCACCCCGGAGCCCTGGGATGTGAAGAGAGCTCTACAGAAGCATGCAACACTAGTCTTCTTTTTATTTTTAATTTTTTTTTTAGATATATCTATCTATTTTCCAGTTTCATTTTGCAGAGCAGATGGAGGAAGTGGCTGGGGCCGGCGACAGCGTCCTCTGATCCTTCCTCTCATGGCCGCTCGCGCGCGGAGTTGTGCCAACAACAGGTAGCACTGGCAGCTGGCTACAACCAGAGCCTCTCTCCAGAGCTCACAGCAGCATCTGGGTTTTTTGCAACACAAGATGGATGATATTTATGCAAATCCTCCCTCCCTCCGTTCTCTGTGCCGCCTCCTGCTCCCACCTCCTCCCTCCGCCCCCCTCCTCCCCGAGCTTTCAGACGTGCACTGAAATTGGCTGTGCTTCAGTTCTCTGCGGGTCAGTGACTGGTCCCCCTTGCCCACCTACTCAGAAAAAAAAGAAAAAACGCTCTCTCCTGGTTTTTTAATTTACCTGGGCAACAGGAACTGCAGTTCTGGGGAGGGGGGATTGAGCAATCACACCTCAGGGGAGCACATCCCCCCCTTCAAGCCAAGGGGTTCTGCCAGGGGGCAAAACGCAAACGAGAAACAAAACCCACCCAAATGAACCACGTTGACTTTGCCCTGGAGTATTTTAAGTGCGTATTATGAAAAGAAAATATTTTTATGGATTCTTATTCTTTTATAATTATGAGTGTTAAGATGTAGCGACTCATTAAAATATTGGAAAGAGACGTGGTGGTGCTTTGGGGGGGGGGTGGGAGGGGATGGCAGCTGCTCCCACAGCCAGAGTGGCTCTGGTGAAAGCCAAGTGCTCTGTTCCTTTCTGTGCTGAGCAGTGGAGAGAATATTAAATCCCCTGATGTTCCTCAGGGGAAGCACAATCCCAGCAACTGAGGGCTGGGAATCCTGGGCTGGGTTCCTGGCTGGGGGTGGGCACCTCACCCCACACCCCACATCCCTCCCGTGGGATTTAGGGGCTCTGATCCCACGCTGGATCCCACAGGAGCTGCTTTTTGCAGAGCTGGGCCTGCCTCTGCTCGCCCTCAAAGCTTCCCAAACCTGGCCTTGCCTCCTCCATGGGAGCCAGGCATTAATTAGCCCTCTGTTAATGCCCCGAGGATGCTGCCTGAGGCTTGTTTTAAATGCAAAGCTTCTTACAGCTGGAGCATTTTGTCTCCTGAAGACAACTGGGAGCACATCTCCCCCTCCCTGACCCCTTCTTGTCCCCGTGCCCAAATAATTGTCCCGATTATTGCAGTTTGTTGCTTGGCTTCTACAACCCAACCCCGGATGCGGGTTTTGAGGTCGGAGGGGCGGAAGGAGGGACGTGATGGAGGGAAAGTTGCAGCTCTCTTGAAGGGTCTTTAAGAGCAACCTGCAGCCAGCAAAGCTGCTCCCCCCCTCCCTGCCACCCTCACAGCCGGGTGGGTGCCTGAGGATGGTAAGAAGCTTTATTTTTGCAGGGGTTGTTGCTTTCCAGTCTTAATTTAAACTGCTTTTTTCCTGTCCCCGAAAAGCCAAGTGTTTCTTAAAATGTCTTTAAAACGCTCTTGTCTAGAAGAGTTTGCAGATCTGTCGGCTCCTCTGATCCCCCCCAGCTCGCTGCAGGATTGTTTGGAGCCCTAAAGAGGGGTTGCTTGTCTTCTTTTGGGGGGGGGCTGAAGAATCCCGAGAGGAATTAAGTGGGAAATCTGCCTCCCGCAATCCTGAGCTATTCCATATGGAACAGGCTCTGTCGGGGGATTGAAATACAAATGATGTGGGAGGTCCCCGCCCCGACATCCCCGAGGGAAAGGTAGTGGGAATAGGGAGCAGCTGGGTGTGCTGGGTGGAGGATTTGCAGCTGGAGGATGAAGTTGAGATAATTTCCTGAGCAGTAACGACGGGGAGGAAGCGGCGGGTGCTGGGGAAACTGGGCAAAAACGACTCTTCCTCGAGAATTTGGGACTTGAGAGCGGCTCAGGAGGCATTTCTCCCGCAAAAACCCGCCCTGAGGGGCTTTATTTTTAGGTGGAGGACGTGGAGGGAGAACAGATGTTCTCGAGGGCTTATTTTTAAAACAAAACTCGCTCCCCTCGAGCTACAGAATTAGCTCAGAAAAGTCAGTCCTTGCCCTGAAAGATGCTCTCACGGAAAACTCCCCGGCATCTCCATTCCCAGAGCGGGCGGGATAAAGGTGCGACGGCGGCTCTCGCTCTCGGAGAGCCACATCAGTGGAAACTTTGGGGGGGCTGGGGGTGTCTCAGGCATTTGATCTCTGGCCTGGGCCGTGCAGGCAGCACCCCCAAAATACCTGGAGTGGCTCAGAAATCCCAGGGTCCCCCAGAGGAGGTGTGGGGTATCCAGGGAAGGCACAGGGGGCTGTGGTGGAAGGGGCTGGGCCGGGCCGTGTGTGTCTGTGCTGGGCGAAAGAAAGGGTGTAAATTGATCTTGGAAAATCCTCACGGAGGGATTGTGGTGGAGCACGTCCACACAGGCACCCCAGGACAGATGGGAGGCTTCAGGCCTGGGTGTGGAGCAGCAGCTTCTCAGCCTCTGGAGAGAAACCTCCTCTCTCTGGTTCCATCTCCAGCCGCTCTCTTGGAGGCTGGTGCGGATTTCTGGGGCATTTCCAGTGAAAACAGCTCCATCCAGTTGGGTCATCGCAGCTCCTGCTCTGCTGGGCTCTGCCTCGGGTCCCAAAGCCTCTCTGGGTTGGAGCTGGGATCGTGGAATCACAGAATGGTTGGGGTTGGAAGGGACCTTGGAGATCCTCTTGTTCCCCCCTTGTGTTGGGTTGTCCCCCGTGAACACCCAGATCCTGCTCCAGAGGGGTCCAGACATGACCCCTCGTCCTTTTGCTTGGGGGCCCATCCTGCTGGTGCTGAGTTCCTGGGGAGGGTCACTCACCCTGCTCCTTGGTGGTGCTGGGAGAGATGGTGTGGGAAGGGCAAAAAAGAGGGACAATCCAGTGGTGGAGAAAACCAGCAGGATTTTGCACATAAGGAACGGGGAGAGGCCGTGGGGTGCTCGGGGGGACAACCAGCCCCGTCCCTGCCACCCTCGCTGCCCTTCTGCTGGGATTTGCCTCCTCCCACCATCCAGGCTCTGCTCTCTCCCAAAGCTGCTCCTTCCTCTCCCAGAAAGGACAGTTAAATGCCACCCAAAGGGCGGCTGAGACCTCCTAAAGCCCCTGTCAAACAGCAGCGAGGCCGCTCAGGAGCTGATCCAGCTGATGGAACCAACGTGTCGCTCTTCCCTCCGGCTCGGCCGCTCTGTTTGCCTTTCCCTGCCTCCCCCCTCTCCTCTAATCCAGGCTGGAACTGCTCCTAGGGCTCAGCCTGGGGCCCTCCTGACCCCGCTCTCGCCATCCCCCCAGCTGGGAGCCCTGGCTGTGACTCTGGGGGTGCTGCTGGCCCTGCTGGGCTGCGCCGCCGCCCCGGATCCCGCCCTGGAGGAGGCCTGGGAAGAGTGGAAGAGTCTCCACGCCAAGGAGTATCCAGGGGTAGGTCCTGCTGCCCTCAAACCTCCCAGCACGTGCTGAGGTCGGTTCTGGAGGATCTCACCCAGACCCACATCCCGTGTCCCTACGCTCCCAGGGGACATTCCCGATCCTTCTGATCCTTGTGGCAGGAGGACGAGACCTTCCGCAGGGAGATCTGGGAGAAGAACCTGCGCCACATCCAGCAGCACAACTGGGAGGAGGCGCAGGGGAAGCACAGCTACCGCCTGGCCATGAACCACTTCGGGGACCTGGTACCTGCTGACACCTTCCCTGGGGACCCTTTGGAGCACCCAGGGCTGGACTGGGGGATCAGAGACCTCTTGGGCCACCCAGGGCTTGATCTGGGGATTGGGGACCCCTCAGTGCACTCCAGGCTGGATCAGGGGATCAGCAATCCCGGGGCACCCAGGGCTTGATCGGGGGATTAGAGACCTCTTGGAGCACCCAGGGTTGGATCTGGGGATTAGGGATCCCTCAGTGCACCCAGGGCTGGATCTGGGGACTGGGGACCCATTGGAGCACCCAGGGCTGGATGTTGGGATCAGAGACCCCCTGGTGTATCCAGGCCTTGATCCAGGGACTGGGTACCCCCAGCCCCTTCCATGAGGAGCTGCAGGTGCCTCTGGGGCCGAGCTGCTTCCCGGGGGTCGGTGGCTGATGGGGCCCTGTGGTGCTGCCAGGGGGGCACCCTTGGCATCCCATGAGTTTTCCTTTGGTGACCTGCAGACAAACGAGGAGTTTAAGCGGCTCCTGAATGGCTTCATCCCAGCGCAGCAGGAGGAGCCAGGGCGGGTCTTCCGAGCCTCAGAGACCCTGAAGACCCCAGTGAGAGTGGACTGGCGGGCCAAGGGCTACGTGACACCCGTGAAGAACCAGGTGGGCACAGAGTGAGGGGTCTGGCCAAGGCTGTGGGAGTCTGGGCAGCAGAATCGAGCAGCAGCATCCTCCCAATCCCCCCAAATCCTCAGGACAACCCTAAGGAGCAGCTCCCGTAGTTTTGGCCACGGTGACTTTGTAGCTGAGACCAGCACT